GTATTGGTATTTGAGCTCTTGGTGAGGCCATCAGTGAACCGGGGTCGTATCCATAATCTTAAGATGCTGTACACCTGCATGAATCCAATAAATGGTGCATGTGAGAAACGACATTTACCTCAAAGGTGTGTTTGTTTAGGAGAAGGCTGCCCTGTCAGCTCGGCTAGAGGAGACGATGGAGCAAAGCTTAGCACTCTTTCAAAAAAGGGACGACCTGGATGAACTGGAGGGCTTTCAGCAGCAGGAGCTCGCTAAAGTTAAGCACATGGTGCGTACATGTGGTGTGCCAGCTTCTTCCTGACATTTTGCGATTAAGGAAAAATGGCAGTTATGTAGTCGTACATTGATTGTACCTTAGTGCAGGACTGGCGAGTCTCTACATTGGTTTGAAAACACTGTACGATGTATGATGGTTGATTCTGTTTATCAGTTGCTGAGGAAGGAAGAACTGCTGAGCCAGCAAGAGCGGGACCTTCAGCGTAAGGAGGCTGATATTCAGTCGGCAAAGCGAGGGCTGGCCGAGGCTCGGGGGAAGCTCCAGACTCTGGAACGGCAGCACGAGGAGAGCTGCAGACTCAACTCTGAGCTGGAGATCGAGCGGTATGGAAACATTCGGTTTCTGTGGAGCATTTTCAACATTTAGTTGCTTGTTCTAGAAGTGAGCTTGGATTTGTTGTGGGACTGTGATTTATTTTGTGACGTGACGCTGTAATTCAAAGAGCATTTATTGGCTCCATGTAGAGAAGAGCTGCTGCTGCTCAGAGAGGAGGCTGACAAGAAGGTCGGCGAGCTAGAGGGACGATGCCAGGAGCTGCAGTCGGTCATCCAGCAGGTCTCTGAAGACTTCCAGAAGGTCAGCACTGAGCACACTGCACTACCATCCTCTCCAAAACTGCTTATTCACTTGTTTGTTGCCTTTGTTTTCAGTCACAGAGTATGGTTTCCACGTTGGAGAAGTCCCTCCATGAATTACAGACAGAACATGATGCTCTGAAGCTGCAGCAGCAAAAGGTCAGAACGTGAGGG